TGTTCTTATATCGCATAACTCTGAAGTGAGCTGGCAAAACACAGACGCAATATATACGAACATAAACAATAGTTGCGATATATTGTTATGAACGATAGCTCCAGAGACCCTGATATCTATCGCTCCTCTCAAAAACCCATTACCCGCCACGCTGTGGTGATGGGGGGGGGGGGGAACCACCGTTTTGGTCCAGTCTGGACCATTAATAAGTCGTAATAGGGGTCCAGAACCATCCAAAACATCATCACTCTAACTCGTATGGACCAATGGGAGCTGCCTCGTATGGACCAATGAGAGCTGCCTCGTATGGACCAATGAGAGCTGCCTCGTATGGACCAATGGGAGCTGCCTCGTATGGACCAATGAGAGCTGCCTCGTATGGACCAATGGGAGCTGCCTCGTATGGACCAATGGGAGCTGCCTCGTATGGACCAATGGGACCTGCCTCGTATGGACCAATAGACGTTCTTCTTGTTCATTAATTCCTGTGTTCTTACATAACTCATCAAAGTGGAATATTTTATAGTTCTTGAAGCAACAGGAAACTCCACGACCATCTCTAAATTGGGTCGACTCGTCTGACTGTACCTTAATTATTAGAAACTATATATATATATACATTTTTATATAACTATTATAAATTTTACATTACATTTTAAATATTTACATTAACTATACATTTTTTGCAGATATTCCTGTCGACGTTCTAATTTAATATATCGTAGAATGAATTCCTTCTGTATGAAAAATATTTAAGATATGCGAGAAAAATGGTTTAATTAATATTCCTCTTAAGAATTTATAAAATGATGGAAGTGTTTGTTTGTTTGTTTGTTTTTTTGGTGTATTGGGTTGGCTTAAGAGTAATTGTTCCAACTGTCTGTTGTGTCTTAGCAAACTGGTAGTTACTCTGAGTCTCTGTGTTGATCTGTGAACTTTTCACATGTTGCAGGGCTGAGACCCGTGTTTTTGCACATGTTGTAGGGCTGGGACATGTGTTTTTACATATGTTGAAGGGCTGAGACCCGTGTTTTTGCACATGTTGTAGGGCTGAGATCCGTATTTTTACACATGTTGAAGGGCTGAGACCCGTGTTTTTGCACATGTTGTAGGGCTGAGACCCGTATTTTTACACATGTTGAAGGGCTGAGACCCGTATTTTTGCACATGTTGTAGGGCTGAGACCCGTATTTTTACATATGTTGCAGGGCTGGGACCTGTGTTTTTGCACATGTTGGAGGGCTGAGACATGTGTTTTTGCACATGTTGGAGGGCTGAGACCTGTGTTTTTACACATGTTGGAGGGCTGAGACCTGTGTTTTTACACATGTTGGAGGGCTGGGACCTGTGTTTTTACACATGTTGGAGGGCTGGGACCTGTGTTTTTACACATGTTGGAGGGCTGGGACCTGTGTTTTTATACATGTTGGAGGGCTGGGACCTGTGTTTTTATACATGTTGGAGGGCTGGGACCTGTGTTTTTATACATGTTGGAGGGCTGGGACCTGTGTTTTTACACATGTTGGAAGGCTGGGACCCGTATTTTTACACATGTTGAAGGGCTGAAACCTTCGCTTCGAACCATTTTTCTGCTGAATTTCCGACTGTTTACCATCTTTCCGAATGCGGTATGTGGCCCTGGCTTCGTCCCGGCTGGCAGACGACCTGACTGACTGCTCGACCCCTATACCCAACCGTCCTATGGGCATGGGGCAGACAAAGAATGGGTATCGGAGCCAATGCCCCGGACATGCCGCAGCGATAGGAGAATCATTTGGGGCACCGGAGAAGCATAGAACAGGGTCTTTTTTGTCTGAGTTCGGACGTCGGGAAAATAAGTGCTTCAGTGGGGAAAGATTGTTGTCATGACGAAATATCTTCTGGTGGTCTTAAGGGCGTTCGTCAAGACAAAGAAGTTCTGGGAGTGAAGATGTTGTTACAGAGACGATTGGGTAGTTTAACCGGAACTATTATCGGAATTGGGGAAGGATTTAGAGGGGTCACCATCTTCACCCATCTTCAACCCTCTACACGCACGCAAAAACGCACACACACACACACACTCGCGCGTGCGTGGTGTGGCGTGCGTGGGGAGGTGTGGCCACAGAGGGTTCATAAAGGCTTGGCGAGCGGAGCGGAAGAATGATGAACACAATTGCTTCTAATATTGTGTTGAACTTTCGAGAGAGGGCGGCCTGTTCCTCTCGTGTGGGTATTACTATCTGTGCCTGCAGAGTCGAGCTATTAGCTCTTGGACCCCGCCTTTCTAACCAACGTATTTTCCTCTATTAGGTCTACTACATATATTTCTCTTAACACACACACACACACACACACACATATCCCCAGGAAGCACCCCGTGACAGCTGACTAACTCCCAGGTACCTATTTACTGCTAGGTGAACAGCGGGCATCCGTAAAAGATATATATATTTTCTTACATGCCTTTGGATTATTTACGGTTCCAGCTTCCATCTGTGTCCTGCTTCCTCTCAAGGGCTGCCTGCACCTTGTCCATCTTCTCCACACCTCTCAGTATCTTCTATGTGGCGATCATATCCCATTATACAACAATAGGCACCCTGAAGCCCTTACCATGTCCGGGATCTCCATTGACCGGAATGTGTCCGGATGAACGAATGTGAACGTTGAACGAATGTGAACGTTGAACGAATGTGAACGTTGAACGAATGTGAACGTTGAACGAATGTGAACGTTGAACGAATGTGAACGAGAAATATCATACATCCTTAACATTTTTATTTTAATAGTTCGGTGTTATATGCCGTGCTGTCGAATAATGCCGGGGGGGGTTCGAATCCCGGGTTGAACGAGACATTTACAGGCATGTTTCCTTGCACCTCATGCCTCTCTTCGCCTAGCAGGAAATAAAGTAGCCTGGGAGTTAGGCGACTGTTGTGGGTTGCATCCTGCACCGGGGGAGTCAGGCGTCGACAAAGAGAACTTTGATGACCTCAACAGGTGGTCCCTACACGACAATGGGGAAGCCATGTTAAGCTCGATATTAACCGCGTGAATTTGCAGTTGCTGGTGATGCTAGGTAGCCTATTCAGCGGTGGGAATGATCACAATTGCAAGGTTATTATTCCCCTCCTCTACATGGCCTGGTTACACAATTGTGGCGTAATATATATATATATATATATATATATATATATATATATATATATATATATATATATATATATATATATATATATATATATATATATATATTTCATATACTGGAATATCCCTCTGATATACAATACCATATAATGTATATGCTTATGGTTATATATATATATATATATATATATATATATATATATATATATATATATATATATATATATATATACATACATATAGGGGAGGGTGAGGTGTAAAACAATGTCTTTATAACAATGGTTCGTGAACATACGAACAAGTGGAAGGTGAACAAGGCCTAAAGATCAATACATATGTAATGATCGGTTCGTATGTATTGGCAATTACACCCTTTCCTCGTCTCCTCCTTCCCTGCACACACACACACACACACACACCTTTCTCAGTCTCCTTCGCCACACACACACACCCTTCCCTCGGTTCTTCCCCTTTTTGTACGCACACACACACACACACACACACACACACACACACACACACACACACACACACACACACACACACACACACACACACACACACACACACACACACACACACACACACACACACACACACACACATATCCTTCCCCTGTGTGTCTCTCTCCCCCCCTGCCCGGTCAACCCCTTCCCTCCGTCTATGCAACTAACAGGTTACACCCAGGATGCAAATCAATCACATGAACGTACGTTTAACAATCAAAGCTCTCAGTTTATTAATGATGAAGTCTATGGACTCGGCACTGAACATTTCACAACTATAGACTGCATGAAATGAGGATATATTGGGGGGCCTGTACCCTTTACTTATTTTTCATGGTGGGTACTGGAATGACCCTAAGCTCCCTCTGACTCACTCCCCTATACAATGACCTCCCCTATACAATGACCTCCTCTATACAATGACCATTAATCATATAATGTACATGAAAATAACTTATGGTTACATCTGCTGTGCTTCTCTGTTCAAATATTGCTTTGTAATGCATTATTATTATTATTTCCAAACAAGGCAGTTAAGAGATGGTTGTTCTAATTACTTGCTATGATTAGGGGGTAACTTTGACTAATTAGGCACCCGGGTTGCTACTTGTGACATTAATTCTGCTAACTTATTCCCCTCCTCTGACAACTTTCCTTGTTTTCTCTAAATCACCTGAGAGTCAAACGAGGTGATGTGGCTGGGACGAGAGGGAGAGAGAGAGAGAGAGAGAGAGAGAGAGAGAGAGAGAGAAGGAGGGAGGGGAGAGGAGAGAAAGTTTGAGGACCTCCCTTCCATCCACTTAAAGAACAAAGACAAAGAACAGCATTCAGGTCGCCATCTTACCGGTCTGGAGAACCAGTTGTGTTGCTGGTGGGCCACGAGGGGCTCACATCTTTTAAAACCTGTTGTGAGGAACACGCAAATAGCGAGTTTGCGAGTGTGTGGGGTGCGTGGCCTTGTAGGAGTGTGTGTGTGTGTGTGTGTCTGTGGTGTGTGTGTGTGTGTGTGTGTGTGTGTGTGGGTGGGTGGGTGGGTGGGTGGGTGAGTGGGTTATATGTGATGTGAGAATGAGTCGAATAAGCCCTCAGGGGCTTGTGTGAGTTGAGCTTCAAGGCTCATCCCTAATTTACATTTCTTCTAATTAATAGACAGCATAACTTCATAGCATCTCCTTTGGACCTTCTTCTAGATGGGAATATACATATCTTGATTGTATGCTGTTGTATGACGCTTGGTGTATGTCACACACGCTCCCCATCATGGGTAGAGAGTCCACCAAACACCCCATCACCATGGGGGCATAAGGGGAGGTGATAATAAAGAAATTACTCAAACCTAATTTCAGTGTCTTGTCGTTGAGGTCTGGAGACACTGATGGAGGCGCAGACGACGGCCCCAGAGGCGACATCTGTCGTCATAGAATGGCAGGATAACGATAATGTGACAATCCGGATCAACGATACTTTTAATTTTATTGAGATATCCGACCCCAACGACCTTCACTACCCATGGAAGGTGAGTGTATATATATATATCAATTATTTATTTCATATATTATCACTATATCTTTTATATGCTAGTTCTACCAGTAGTTTGTAATACTAAATATCAGATCTCTGTTTTAAAAATATTGATTTATTTGCCATTTATCTCTTGTTTTTATCTGATTCTTTTTGCGGTTTGCTGTTGTTAATTTCGTGTTGTTTTCTTCTGCAGATAATTCCGTTCTTCTACCTCCACCTCACCACGTACCTGGTGACGCTCGTCTTCGGAGTGATTGGCAACGTGGCGGTGATCGTCCTGATGGCAGGTGAGGTCACCAGGCTGTAAATCAGGTCACGGTTCACAGTCTAGGTCACTGGCTGGTACTTTAGGTCACCAGGTCGCTGAAAGGACACATATAACATGGGGAACAACAGTGACTTGGCAACACATTTCCTTTATTCACTATATTAAAGTCTCCCTTCCAGTGTGTCTGTCACTCCCTCCCCCATTCTCTTCTCTTTCCCGCACCCCCTTCCCTCTCCATTCCATCTTACGTTCTTTCTTCCTTCCTCCTTCCCATTTCTTCCCTCCACCTCTCTGCTTCCCTTCTCCTTCTCTCCCCCAAATACGTGCAGAGCAAACCGGTTCAAAACCAAAGATGAACCGGTGGTCAATGAGTCTTTTCTGTCCCCAAAAAATGTTCCATGTTCATCAAAAAATTCCAAATCCATCATGTTTGGAAACATTTCATCATAAGTGCTTGTTTCTACTTCCAATAAGAATTGTTTTGACTGCTATATCCGGCTCGCAAAATATGTTTGTGTTCTAGGAAGAGATATGAGTGTGTGCCCCCCAAAAAAAAAGTTTGCGACAGTGTGTATCTGGCTGCGTGTAGCTGTGTAACCTAAGTATATGGAGGTATATGCTGCTGGTAGTTCAGGATAGTGTTATGTATGAGTTTACCGTTGAAAGTAATACTCAAGGCTCAGCTTTATCATTAATGGCAATGTCAACACCGGAACGTAACCTCAAGGCCCTTTTTCAACTCCCGCGATCCCCCTTCATGTCCGCAGGTGACCGGAAGTCCCGCAACACCACCAACATGTTTCTAGTATCCTTATCGGTGGCGGACTTGCTCATGCTGCTCCTGTGCGTGCCGCTCAAGATAGTACACTTCTTCGTCGTCCTCTGGGACTCCGGGGGCGCCGCCTGCAAGATTGCTAACTACTTCATGATGCTCTCCTTCACCGCCAGCGTCCTTAACCTCACTGCTGTCAGTCTCGAGAGGTGAGTGTGGTTGAGAGCCTCGTCGTCAGCTTCGGCAGGTAACTCTTGACGCATTTTGAGCACGAGCTCAGTAAGTTTTATACTGTTCCCTGCTATTTAAAATAGTTCTATACTGTTTCCTGCTATTTATAAGTTCTATACTGTTTCCTGCTATTTATAATAGTTCTTTGCTGTTTCCTGCTATTTAAATAGTTCTATGCTGTTTCCTGCTATTTATAATAGTTCTTTGCTATTTAAAATAGTTCTATGCTGTTTCCTGCTATAAATCATTGTTACGTCACACTATATTACTAAAAGAATATTTTTCGAAGCCTTAACTATGGCATCCCCTTTTTTTTCTTTAGACTGTCTGGTCCGGGAAAGTCTTAGAGATATAATTCGTCTGAAGCATGTTTCTAACGCGCTCAGACAAGTTCCTACCTAAGTTTTGTAATAGATTTCGCCTCCCACCCTCTTTCTCTCGTCAGAAACGTAATTGCAAGAGTTTTCAAGAAGCCCGTCTCAGTTTTGACCAGTCGCCGTCGCGAAAGAGATTGGGTAAAGACCTTGTCCGGTTCCGGGAATTTTGTGTCGAGTCTTTGGAAGCTGTTGTACAGCTCTTCTCCCTGTTGTTGTGAATTATCTCTGTCTCACTATGTTTCTCCTCTTTCTGTCTTTGTCTCTCTCTGTCTCTCTCTCTCTCTCTCTCTCTCTCTCTCTCTCTCTCTCTCTCTCTCTCTCTCTCTCTCTCTCTCTCTCTCTCTCTCTCTCTCTCTCTCTCTCTCTCTCTCTCTCTCTCTCCTTATATTTCCCCCCTGCTCTGTTCGTCATTATTCTCTGCCCTCTTTCTGTTATGTCCCTTACCCCCTCTTTCCCCTCTTGGTTCCTCTTTCCCTCTATCCTTTTTTATGTCCTCTTTTCCCATCTCTTTCCCTCTGTCCTTTTTGTGCTCCCCTTCTTATTCTCTGTCTCTGTGTGTGTACCTCTATCTTCTCTTTATTATTCTCTCTCTCCCTCCCTCCCTCTCATTCTGTATCCCCTTTAATATCACAATGATAAATGTTGAGAGAGTTTAGTGAGACAAGAGAACAAACAGGAAAGCACGCAATGGTGCAGAAAAAAATAAACATTCGACAAACAGTGAAAATGGCAAAATAAATACGGGAAATAAGGTTTATTAAGTTTGCGAATAGGGAGCACAAGCAAACATGGGAACTATAATGAACAGATGGTGTTAATGTTGAAACAGGAGAATTATTAATAAACAGGAGGGAGAGGCAAAACAGTCCACTACGGGCTCGCCATAGCCCGTGCTACTTGGAACTCTTTGTTCCGGGTAGCGAATCTTAAACAACAACAGGGGGACCAGTGGAGGAGGAGGAAGAGTGGGACATGTAAGAACATAAGAACAAAGGCAACTGCAGAAGGCCTGTTGGCCCATACGAGGCAGCTCCTATCTATAACATAAGACACACAGAGATCACACTAACGTGATGCATCAAATGAACAAATCCACAAGGGCCGTGACGAGGATTCGAACCTGCGTCCGGGAGGTTTAAGAACAAGAACAAATAATAATGAAGATAGGGAATAGAGGGAAATAGGAGAAGAAAACGTAACCGAAAGGTCAAATCTAGCAATTGTCTCTTAAACAGCGAACAGTGATTAAACCAAAACTAGTCGGAGAAGTATTACTAACGAAGAGGAGACAAAGTTGAGGTAATTATGAGGACAAGACTCAAAACCAGTGCAACTGTACAGCTCTAAAAAGAGCTATGAGGAGCTGGAATATTGGGACGAGGAGCTGGGATATTGGGACGAGGAGCTGGGATATGGGGACGAGGAGCTGGGATATTGGGACGAGGAGCTGGGATATGGGGACGAGGAGCTGGGATATTAGGACGAGGAGCTGGGATATTGGGACGAGGAACAGCTGGACCACGAAGATAAGGCGCTGGGATATGGTCCATACGATGCAGCTCCTATTGATCCATATGATGCAGCTCCTATTGGTCCATACGATACAGGTCCTATTGACCCATACGAAGCAGCTCCTATTGACCCATATGAAGCAGCTCCTATTGACCCATATGAAACAGCTCCTATTTAATTCGACCCAATTTCATATGCACTAGTAACTTTCCCCTTGAAACAACCAAACGTCTCCGCATCTATTATATAACCCAGTAATCTGTTCCAACAACCCTGTTCACAAACCAGTATTAACCCCCCCCCTCCAGGCCTTTCCAAAATCTAATCTTATCCCATTTACATCCATTGATTTGTGTTCAGTTTTTGTCATTTTTGTCATTGTAATTTCTACCTTTATTCTCAATTTCGAGCTCCGACGTAATTTTCTTCCTCGTTATTTAATATTAGTTAGTTTGACAAGGTCAAGAGGCCATATTTCCTCTTTTTCTCTGGTCTGTTTACAGTTTTATTGAGACATATTCTGGGACATAGTTTAAGAAAACATCAATTTAAGTTTTGATGAGTTTTCTCGAGTGATTATTGAGGCGTGACATTTGACACGACTTGAGGGAGAGGGATTATGGGGGAGAGAACATGGGGTGAGGGGGAGAGGAGAGAAGCCATGTGAAGGGGAGAGTTGGTGTGAGAGAGAGAGAGAGAAAGGAGAGTGGTGAGGGAGGAGAGTCACTTTGGAGGGACGAAAAATATAGTTTACAATTTTGGCTACACAATCCAGGAGCTCCGTCAATCCCTGAACATAGAGATGGACTCCATCAATCCCTGAACATAGAGATGGACTCCATCAATCCCTGAACATACAGATGGACTCCATCTTCCTCTTCACACCCTCCTTACCAAATCCTTTGGCCATCAAATCCGAAATCCTAAGCCTACAGGCACTGAACGATTGACTACACACACACACACACACACACACACACACACACACAGGGGGGCCTCGTAGCCTGGTGGATAGCGCGCAGGATTCGTAATTCTGTGGCGCGGGTTCGATTCCCGCACGAGGCAGAAACAAATGGCAAAGTTTCTTTCACCCTGAATGCCCCTGTTACCTAGCAGTAAATAGGTACCTGGGAGTTAGTCAGCTGTCACGGGCTGCACACAAAAAAAAATAGTAGTTAGTAAACAGTTGATTGACAGTTGAGAGGCGGGCCGAAAGAGCAAAGCTCAACCCCCGTAAAACACAACTAGTAAACACACACACACATCATTCACCACAACTATATACTCCTTCAATGCCAACAAAATCGATTCATATAAACAACAATAGTATTAAAATATTTATCGTAATAACTTCAATATAACTATATTTTAACTTTATATAAAATAACTGATGTTATTAAAGTTCGAGTAATAATTAAGTGTATTCTGTGTAAGGGATTCCCTTGATAATACTGGAAAACAAAAAAATTATTTAATTACGTTGAGAAGACCTTTTGGAAGCGGAGTATTTTTATGTCTTGCAAAACCCAGGATGGACTAGAGGGAGACGTGTCTATAATTATTATAGAACCTTTGAAGTCTTACAAAAAAATAAACAGTCTAGTGCAGAAAAATTGACAGCTTTTAATATAGGTTTCATTATAGCGGTTAATTAGATATTCTCAGATGAAACGCGTTTATGGATCATAATAAAAATATTTTATTTGGAAAATATTCATAGGCAGATATGTTAATGGTTAGTTAATAATTAGAGTTGAGTAAGAGGTTGGGAAATGTTTCTTCCCGCCAAACCGGGAAGAAATATGGCGGAGAGCCGCGCTATTTATTAGGCTCGACTAGGCTCTATAACCAAGAGGCAGTTAGAAATCCTATTTAAATTGTTAAATTTGTGAAGTAAATGTATGATTTGAATTTTGCTAGATTCAGTGAAACACACACACACACACACACACACACACACACACACACACACACACACACACACACACACGGATAGGAAGAGTCATGGTCAGTGTGTGGGGTCACCCGCTGGGGTCACGACGGTCCTCAGGTCGACCCCACTATATATACAAAGAGTATATATATATGTATATATATAGGTATATATATATATATATATATATATATATATATATATATATATATATATATATATATGTGTGAGTGTGTTATAGTAGTACACTGTTCATTAATTAATCTAGCGTTTTAGTTTTAACGTTAAGTTAATCTAACTTATCAGGTATATTTAGTAGATTAATATATTCAGAATACGGCCGAAAAGCTTAGCGTATTCAATATACATTTTATGTACCTACAAATTACAAACTGGCTCATGTATATTTAAAGATACATGATACGGTCTTTATGTATATTTAAATAACATTATTATTATTATTATTACTTTCAAAAGGTGCACCGACATTATTGACCCGTATGCGGCTGTTCCAATATATTGCACAATTTCTTCATAATAAAATTCATAGTTGTTTAAACAAAAAATATATATATATTTCGGCTTGTTATTACTAAACTTGCGAGGCTATTTATGTTTCAAGCAAACCCATTACCAGAGCCGGGATGATATTAATGATAGTTACAAACCAAAAGTTCACTGTTATTGGACGCGATCATGTACAGAAGCTTAATATGCTTTTCATAAGTTTTGAGTTTTAAACTTTGTACGCGTTGTTATAGTGACGAACTTCCGCAATAATATTCCATTGTGAGGAATCTTGCATGATTTTAGCGCTGGAGTAGAGAGTTGACGGTTTTAAGAGATTGAGAGTGGCTAAATATGCTTATTTTAAGATTTTGATATGAGCACGCATTACAATATGCAGTTGAACGTAAAGGTATCACTTATAGTTCCTATTTACTTACAAGATATTATCATACACTTAAGCTAGCGTGAACAACGGCTCGCCAGCCTTACATTTCTACTTACAATCCTACTCGGTCATGACGGTTTTGTCTGCATTTATTAAACAATTTACGAGTTTTGATATTACTGAAGGCAATCTTGATATGCTTATAAACAACCTTGTCCAACCCGTCCTCAGAGCAAGTCCATTCTATCCAGTGGTCGACTCCAAAGAAGCATTCATAAATTTTAATATTCGTTCAAAATGGGAATTTTCTCAAATATAAATTAATATTATAATATACAACCCGTCCTCGACTCAAGTCCATTCCATCCAGCGGTCGACCCCACAGACGCATTCATAAATTTTAACATGCTGTTCATTCAAAACAGGAATTTTCTCAAATATAAATTAATATTATAATATATTAGCATATTGTGCATATATAGGCATAGGTTAGGTTAGGTTAGGTGTTCAGGTTCTGTTGGCGATTATTTGTATTTGTAGTACGTGGGTGAAGCATTTACAGCGTTGTGGTTCGAACAAAATTCGTCAGTGAAGCACTTGTTCCGGAAGTGTTCGAACGAAATCAGTTGTGAGTCGTGTGTAAACCGTTTTTCATTCATAAACAGGGGGTTTGGCGGGTGCATGGAATCACTTTTGGGTCTTTGTTTGGAGGACGGGCTGTTAGAGTATTGTAGTTTGAACAAAAGTCGTCAGCGAAGCGCTTGTTCGGGAAGTGTTCGGACGTCATCAGTTGTGAGTCGTTTGTAAACCGTTTTACATTCATAAACAGGGGGTTTGGCGGGTGCACGGAACGGACTTTGGCCTTTGTTTATGAGGACGGGCTGATGGTTGATGTGACGACTTATACTGAATTTTGTAACTAGCTCATCAAGATTGTAACTTGTTTAGCTAAATGAACTGTTGGGTTCAGTTCTTGAGCCCATTATGTGCCTCTGTAACCCTTTCCACTACCGCCCACAAGATGGGTATGAGGTGCATAATAACTGAACTAGAACTAGAACAAATGAGTGGGGGAGGAACCTTTAACAAGCGTAAGTCACGCCGACTTACTGTCCTCATCGAGGTCACTAGAGTGTTAGTGACCTTCAAGTCATTAAAACTTGTTATCAAAGTTAACCTAGCAACTAGTTACAGAAAACGTGAAGACTGATCCAACAAGGAAAGCGACGGTCCGACGCTATCAACAATCAACACAACAACATAACATCTATCACCGCCGGTGCCCAGACTCCCGTCCGGTAAAAAACCTTCTAGACGATCATTGGTGCGGTGGTCACGGTACTGTGTACGTTTAGTCTTAGTGATCTATGGCTTGCGCGTTCACAAAAACCTTCTGGTGCAGTCATCGGGAGGACAAACACTTCATGCAAACTGCACCTACTATCAAGAAGAAGAAGAAGAAAACTCACCTACTATCAAGAAGAAGAAAACTCACCTACTATCAAGAAGAAGAAGAAAACTCACCTACTATCAAGAAGAAGAAAAAACTCACCTACTATCAAGAAGAAGAAAACTCATCTACTATCAAGAAGAAGAAGAAGAAAACTCATCTACTATCAAGAAGAAGAAGAAGAAAACTCATCTACTATCAAGAAGAAGAAGAAAACTCATCTACTATCAAGAAGAAGAAGAAGAAAACTCATCTACTATCAAGAAGAAGAAAACTCGTCTACTATCAAGAAGAAGAAGAAGAAAACTCGCCTACTATCAAGAAGAAGAAGAAAACTCACGCGTACCATAAGGAGAACGTCTATCACCGCCAAGTCTGGTCAGGCACGGATCCCAAACACAGCATCCTTCAGAACTGTGAAACTCGTCCAGTGGTGACCTCAGTTGGCACTACATTGTCCCGAAAGCGTCGTGACATAAAAAATAAAAACAGCCGTAGGCCTAGTAGCAACCTAACGCCGCCACGATGAGGAAACATTTATTCCACCTCGGTTACAATCAACAGATGGATCTGCAACAGTACAGACCAGATATTACAATTTCAAGCAAGAATGGAAACTACTTAATCAATGTTTGCTATTCACAACTGAACTGCAGGGAGGTGGGGGGGAGGGGCTTCTGTACCTGACAAAACGAATAATGTACATTTTAAGTGTTGTGAGTCGTTCATACCCATATAGACATGCCCATTTGAGATGCGTTGACTGTAACATGTTACTCTCCACATCATCACTCATCCACTCGGGAGGCAACGTAATGCAAACCATGTATCGTGAAGAATAACATCGTTGCTTTCTGACAATACTATTGGTGTATTACTGGATGCTTCCTTCATGGTAAGCTGAAGTGTTAATGCAAAACCTAACTTATTATGGCTGTCAGACTTACTATAATTTAGAGTTGTATAGCCAAACTTAACTTATTTTTATCCGGTCTAACTTAAATTGCCTTAACCAAAAATATGTATATGCCCAACTGTTTATGCTATTACATAATAGTATTCATGCTAATTTGAACCATATTCATTATTCCATATATTATCAGTGTTTCTAGTTCCCTGACAATATTGCAATATTTTTATATTTTACTGGACCTCAAAATATTAGTTTGGTCAGACCTAAACAATAGTAATACTCAACATGAAATTCAATCATAATCTAGATGTGTGACATCTGCTTATAATAAAAATTTATGCTTGACTTCATTACCATATTTTACAGCTTGAATAATGAATTTAAAATAACAATGTCCTTGTTACTTGATCAAAGAATCTGTGATGATAAAATGCCCAAGATATGACTTGACCTCCTCTTGCAGGTTCATCGTTATAGTGTTCCCAATGAGATCACGCTCGCTGTGTACCATGAGCAACTGCCGCCGTTCTGTCCTCTTCGTATGGGTTGCTTCTCTCCTGTTGGCCTGCCCCATCATCAAGGTCATGGTGAGTCATAGTATGACATGGTGGGTGGTATAGTGGGGCATCCTTCCTGCTGCCCAACCTCATCATCATCAAGGTCAGGTGTCTTATGGTGTTATGGCCTACTTATCACCAAAAGTATGGTAAATCATGTTGGGTGGTTCTCTCAATATGTCTTTCAAGTGAACCATATCTGTTCATTTTTAACATTGTTAATTTTGTGTTGAGTAATATTTCAACTGCAACCAACATCACGAAATATATCCATCAATTCTTTGGGCTAAAACTACTTTGGGAGTTGAGTTAATTAACTGTAATTGCACCCAGAGATGGGAATTACATACCAAATTGCATCCCACTTCAAATGCTGTCGCAATGTTGTGTCACTGTGGATCATTTTTGAAGAGTAATTAATTCTGTCAGCTGTGCAGCCTTTGGGAAAAAAGGACAAATCATTTAATTAATTTGGAAAACTCAGAGTTTACAAACATTATTGGTTGCATGGAGTTAATTGTTACTTTTTATACCTTTTGCATATATATTCACGCTTAGTTGTTCTAACACGGGATGTTTATACCCAGCTGTTCTACCTAGGGGTGTTCTTGCCTAGATAATTACCTAAGTGTAGTTACAGGATGAGAGCTACGCTCGTGGTGTCCCATCTTCCCAGCACTCTTTGTCATATAACGCTTTGAAACTACTGACGGTCTTGGCCTCCACCACCTTCTTCCCTAACTTGTTCCAACCGTCTACCACTCTGTTTGCGAAAGTGAATTTTCTTATATTTCTTCTGCATCTGTGTTTAGCTAGTTTATATCTATGACCGCTTGTTCTTAAAGTTCCAGGTCTCAGGAAATCTTCCCTATCAATTTTATCAATTCCTGTTACTATTTTGTATGTAGTGATCATATCACCTCTTTTTCTTCTGTCTTCTAGTTTTGGCATATTTAATGCCTCTAACCTCTCCTCGTAGCTCTTGCCCTTCAGTTCTGGGAACCACTTAGTAGCATGTCTTTGCACCTTTTCCAGTTTGTTGATGTGCTTCTTAAGATATGGGCACCAAACAACTGCTGCATATTCTAGCTTTGGCCTAACAAAAGTCGTGAACAATTTCTTTAGTATATCGCCATCCATGTATTTAAAAGCAATTCTGAAGTTAGAAAGCGTGGCATAGGCTCCTCGCACAATATTCTTTATGTGGTCCTCAGGTGATAGTTTTCTATCTAGAACCACCCCTAGATCTCTTTCTTTATCAGAATTCTTTAAAGATTTCTCACATAATATATAGGTTATGTGGGGTCTATATTCTCCTATTCCACATTCCATAACATGGCATTTATTAACATTAAATTCCATTTGCCAAGTGGCGCTCCATGTACTTATTTTGTCCAGGTCTTCTTGAAGGGCATGACAATCGTCTAAGTTTCTTATCCTTCCTATTATCTTGGCATCATCAGCAAACATGTTCATATAATTCTGTATACCAACTGGTAGATCATTTATGTAGACAATAAACATCACTGGTGCAAGAACTGAACCCTGTGGTACTCCACTTGTGACATTTCTCCAGTCCGATACATTGCCTCTGATCACAGCCCTCATTTTTCTATCAGTCAGAAAATTTTTCATCCATGTTAGAAGCGTACCTGTCACTCCTCCAATATTTTCCAGTTTCCAGAACAACCTCTTATGTGGAACTCTGTCGAAAGCCTTTTTTAGGTCCAGATAGATGCAGTCAACCCAACCATCTCTTTCCTGTAATATCTCTGTTGCTCGATCATAGAAACTGAGTAAATTAGATACACAGGATCTTCCAGATCGAAAACCATACTGTCTGTCTGATATTATATCATTTCTCTCCAGGTGTTCTACCCATTTAGATTTAATTATTTTTTCCAATATTTTGACTATTACACTTGTCAATGATACTGGTCTATAATTAAGGGGGTCTTCCCTGCTTCCACTTTTGTAGATTGGAACTATGTTAGCCTTTTTCCACACATCAGCTACAACTCCTGTAAACAGGGATGCCTGAAAAATCAGTTGAAGAGGAATGCTAAGCTCAGGTGCACATTCTCTCAGAACCCATGGTGAAACTCCATCTGGCCCAACTGCTTTGTTCTTATTTAGCTCCTTGAGCATTTTTTCCACTTCGTCTCTAGACACCTCTATGTGCTCTATGTTGTTCTCTGGAATTCTTATTGTATCTGGTTCCCTGAAGATTTCATTTTGTACAAACACACTTTGGAACTTTTCGTTTAATGTTTCACACATTTCCTTTTCATTTTCCGTGAATCTATTTCCCATTTTCAACCTCTGAATATTATCCTTTACCTGCAATTTGTTGTTTATGAATTTATAGAATAGACTGGTTCTGTTTTACATATGTCTGCAATCCCTTTTTCAAAATTTCTTTCTGCCTCTCTCCTCACTGCCGTGTAGTTGTTTCTCGCATCTTTGTATCGCTGGTATGTTTGGGGGTTCGGCCTCTTCCTGTATTGATTCCATTTTTATGTCTTTTGGTCTCTGGCCCTCTCGCACTTTCTGTTGAACCAATCCTGTTTCCTAGTTCTGCTTCTCTGTTTTGGTATAAATTTTTTTGTGCCTTTATCATATATTTCACAAAACCTGACATACATCTCATTCACTTCCTTGCCTAGCAACAAGTCTGTCCAATTATACTCACTAAAAATTTTTCTAAGGTTGCCATAATGTCCTCTCCTAAAGTCAGGTTTGTCATTTGCATCAACCATCATATTTTCTTCCAGATTATAACGCATTGCATACTTTATTCCCAAAAACACATGGTCACTTTTACCCAAGGGAGGAAGGTACTGAATGTCAAATATTTCTTCCTCCTTCCTGGTAAATATCAAATCTAGCATGGAGGGAACGTCCCCTTCCCTCATCCTCGTAGCTTGTTTAACATGTTGATACAAGAATGTTTCCAGGATGAGGTCTACAAATTTACAGGTCCAGAAATCTTCTGTTTTAGCTTCACATGCTTCCCAGTCTATTGATTTCAAGTTGAAGTCGCCGACTATCAACAGTCGTGAAATTGTTATCCACTCTCGCTATGATCTCTCTCATTATTGTTATAAGACCTTCTCATTTACTATCTAGCTCCTCCTTTGACCATGTGCTGCTTAGCGGTGGACTATATGCATTTATGATCATTAGTTTATCATCCTCATGGCAGATCTCTAGTGCTATTATGTCAACATCTTGTGGATTGGCAGTCACTATTTCGTTCACCTTTCGGTGTTCTTTCACCAGCACAGCAACGCCACTGCCTTTCCTGATTTTTCTGTCCCGTCTCCAAATTGAGTAGCCCCTTGGGAATATGACCTCATTTAAAATAGCATCTTCAAGTTTTGTCTCCGTGAGTGCAACAATGTCTGGTGTCTGCAGCTGTATTATATCACATAACTCCAGTATCTTTGATCTTACTCCATCTATGTTGGTGTATGCAATCTTGAGGAACTTGTTCCCCCTCTTCTTATTTTTCACTCCCCCTTTCTCTAATGATTTTGTTGGTTTGCCTTTATGTACCACTTTACTGGCCTGCCTACCCCTATCACTTTGTAGAAAAAAGAATTGATTTCTTCTTCATTCCTGCTCTCATTTAAACGTTTTGCCTCGGCGAGGTTCAGTTTCAGCTTCTCTCTGTCTTCTTTTGAAAGATCTCGTCTTAACGACCACACTTTCCCATCCTCATCACTTTGTAATTTTCTAGCATTCCTTAGTACTTCTTCCATTTGTTTGGCACCATTTAGGGTGATCCTCAAAGGTCGATCTTTCCCTTTTACATATCTGCCTATTCTCCTGTAGTCGCACACATTCTCTATGGTTGTAAGACCTTCCACGAGGCCAACAATTTTATCTACTACTTTTGCTTCTTCTACAGCTCTTTCTGACCTAGATGTTATCTCCTTTTCTTTGCAGCCAAAAATGATCAGGGACTTACTCCGATTAACTGTGTTTTGCACCAACTTCGGGTTAGATGCCAATTCTCTCCTCACTTCTAGCCTAATGTTTGTTTTATCTTGGTTGCTGCAGTGTTTGACTTCCTTTACTGCTTCTTCTATTTTTTCCTTCTCCTTGGCCACTTGTGCATAAGTGAATTGCATATCTTTCTTGCACTGTTTTATTCCCTGTGTAACTTCCATGCTAACTAAGATGTTCTAGCCAGGGTGTTCTTACCCAGCTGTTTTAACCAGGGTTGTTCTTACCTAGTTGTTCAAAGGTGTTCTTGCCTAGTTGTTCTAACCAGGGGCATTCTAACCAAGGGTGTTCTTGCCGAGCTGTTCTAATCAATGGTGTTCTTCCCTAGCTGTTCTAACCATGGGTGTTCTTGCCTAGCAGTGTTTATAGAGATCCAGCTCCAGTTGCTGTTCATCGTTTAATTCAATGACTCCCAGAACTTATTTGTTATTAATTTTCAAATGCGTAGTTACAATCTGTTATTTTCCCTTTTCACTTACTCTACTGATAACCCACATGCTAATTGCTTCTGTTCCTCTCCCATACTCATCATTGTGTCCCATTTCCATCTATTTTTTCTGGTGTTATCTGTATTGATTTTAAAATAGCTCACCTAATAGAAAGTCTTACACCGTGGGGTGTATGACAAAAAAAAAAAAAACTAATGGAAATAATGCATTTGTCAATTTGAGCAGAGGAGGTAGTCATTGAAAAGCAATTAGAACTGGTTAAGGGTTAACAGTTTCTTTGTCCACTTTCTATATATTTCCAAGCATCTAGTACATCGCACTCAGGTCTTCTCTGTCCCCTTATTTATATGGTGAGGTTCATTTATTGTCAGGCTGCGAGCAGGCACATCAAACACATTGGGGGTCTGGTTGATCAGACCACCAAACAGGAGGCCTGGTCAGAGACCGGGCCATGAGGACATTGATCCTCAGAATCAATCATCAGGTTGTCCTCTTGGTACATGGCATTTCTGTGGAGGTCAGAAGAGAGAAGAGCAGGTGGAGAAGGTTTGTGTATTCTAATTAGCCAAGGTTTGTGCACTCCAGTGACCCAAAGGGCAGTTGAGCATACTGTACTGTACCTCAAAAAGCTGCTCTTTTACCCAATGAATAGGAGATGAATTGACATTATTCTACCCCTGTGCAAGCACTGGAAGTTCTTAGTTATGAGCCCTATGGTTCTGCTGTACCATAGAACTGTTTTAATCTGTGCCACTGTGGGCTGCATATTATTTATGATGCTCTGTATAAATATAAGAGAATCGGTGACCTTATACAGTAGTTGTCACTACAGATATTGAGGTCTATCAAATATTGTAAATCTAATTTTCATCCTGTCTTCACACCCAAACTCTTGTATTTCTGATGCAAGCTTTGTTAAAAGTCACATGACACTTACTCGACCACTGGTCTCATATAAGTGATGCACAATTCTGTAAATGACTTCTTGTCCAAGCTCCTGTAAGCTGTTTGTTTCAGCTTTGCACATACTGTACTATACAGTACTGACGATGTCTCTACCGAGGGCACTAGAGCCTTCCCCTCTCCGCCTTTCCTCTCCGCCTTCCCTCTCTCTCTTCCTCGCCAGCAACAGAACTGTTCATCATTACAGTACCAGTATTTTTACCTGTTAAATTTTGTGTAAATTATGTAAAGCTTGTGCATAAATTATCTTTAACTTAAACACAAATTTTTCTTACCCAGAGTTGAGTCAAACACAATGTTGCTTATTGCATATAAATTGGAGAATCATCCTGTAGTCAACAAGATGGAAAACTGTACTGAATAATGAGGAACGTTGACCCCTTAACAGTACCTACTCTGGTACGGGTAGATACTGAATGGGTTGGAAGAAATATTAAAGATGTAAATAATACATGGAGTGACAGTGACAAGAGAGCAGTGGCTGCCTCAGCCAAAGTGCCTATCACAGTTTGAAATGACTGGCAGAAGATGAAAAATAACCTTATCATAATTTGTTTGTTGCTGTAAATGGGTTATATTTATCCTTGAAAAATAATCTCTATAAATCCCATAAGCTTCAGCTCCTGGAACTGACCACTTATTCTTCAAATGATATGCTCATTAATTTCTTAATTTACATCTATTTCTATTCTAACCCATGTTACGTATCCCTAGTTGGATACTTATTTTAATTCATGATAATATTTACTAATTTCAATTCCTTCATTTATCTGTATATGTATACAATATATACTGTATATATATTTTTACAATGTCATATACTTTAGCAACACAGTTGAAGCATGGCACGGGCTAGTTTAGTCAAGTATTGGACCTGTACTTGCCTGGTCAACTTCCTGATGGAATATTCTGTACTTGTTCATTTGTGCGAGTTCCAAATGTCGCCTTTTAACATTCATATTATTGTTAATTTCCTGTGATTAAGCATGTGGCATTGTAACTTATATTATTTACATATGACAATTATATTTTAGTTTTCATTCTTATACATATGAGAACAATTGCTTTGTCTCAATTATTGTATTTTATAAAAGTCCTTGTTTACCATCCATTATCCTGGATGAAGGCGGGGGAAGCAAGAATTATGGGTTGTGTCTGGGGGAGAGTTCAGTTAGCCGAGAGACTTTACTGAGGGAACATGTGTTGATAAGTATCTGTTTATCTGTTTGTAGTATTGTAGATTTATTGTCTGGAGGATTTTTCTTTATATATAAGCCATTTAGTCTTGGTTATTAACAAAGTGATGTCATCATTGTGTATATTGAGAAATACGTGCATAATAATTTTTGTCTTGTATATATAAGAACTCCCACAAATGAACAAGTACAGAATATTCCATCAGGAAGTTGACCAGGCAAGTACAGGTACTTGCCTGGTACTTGCCAATACCTGACTAAACTAGCCCACACCATGCTTCAACTGTGTTGCCAAAGTATACGACTCGCTATAAAAATATAAATATATATATACATATACAGATAAATGAAGGAATTTAAATTAGTAAGTATTATCATGAATTAATGTAAGCATCCAACTAGGGATATGTAACAACCCATACAAACCCTTGACAAATCCAACTAATACCTGACCTTCCTTTAGAACATGCACAATAGGCAAGGATAGGAATAGGCACAATAGGAACATGCACCACTGAGCATATGTGAATGGAGGAAATCCAATCCTCTTCATCATGCTTTTGTCTGACCCCAATTGAACCTCCCTTATTCCTCTACTACCAGCCAGTTAAGCCTCGATAGCTCTCAACTAATAGTGAACTAAACCTTCCTGTGCTACTTGAACACAAACTAACCCTCTGCACCCTTAACTATAGCTTCTAGCCCCTCTGCTCCTTCTCTAACCCCAACTTAAACTCTTTACCCATCCACTATCCCCTGGCTACCCACCCTACCCATCCCCCTCAGCCCCCAACTAACCCTATTCACTCATCTTTCCACCCCCAACTCATCCCTTATGCTCATTTCAGGAAATCGATACTGTGATGTACACGGATGCATCTCGTAGCGTGTGGGTGACTGCCTACTACTGCAAACAGATGGAGTCGCTGGTGTTCTTGGCATACCAGCTGCTGGTACTCTTTGTGGTTCCTGCCCTCCTCATGATCGTCTTCTACACTGCTGTTATCAGGGAGCTCTGGAGGTCCACCAAGAACATAAAGGCTCTCACTAATGCCTCTAGGAGGTAAGAGGGAAGGAAGGAAGGAAGGAAGGAAGGAAGGAAGGAAGGAAGGAAGGAGGGAAGGAAGGAGGGAGGGAGGGATAAGAGGAGAGAGGGTGGGAGGAAGTTGCAGTCTTTAACAGGGAGGAAGAAAGGGGAAATTTTCTGTTTGAGGAAAGTGTAAGACAAGTTTTATAAGCCATTGAGCTTGAGAGAACAGATATTATGGTATTCAGTGCTTCCCACCTGATTGAAAACACATCCCACCACAACCATACATGTTCACATGCCCGATCTTTATCAAAATTCATTAGTGGCTCTTCACGAAACATTCCCCAAAAGGCTCAAGGGCTCTACCATGTAATTCCACAAGTCATCTTCATGTATCTTAATTCAATTTGTCAGAGACAGGCAACCCTGTGTATATTTATACTTTAGGCTTGTATCAAGGTTCCCTTCTAAGATCGAACTACTGACTACCCCTCCCCATCCCCCAAGGATGCAAACCCACAACAGTTGACTAGCTCTCAAGTACCTTTATTTACCGCTAGGTGAACAAAAACTAGGTGGTAGGAAACTTGTCCAACCATTTATGTCCTGCCTGGAATTCAAACCCGGCATTCCCAGTTGTGAGTCAAGAACACACCCAACACTACTACTACCAATACCCTGTTGATAGGACAGTATTGGATCAGGTCAGGACTATGAAAAATATAAATATGGCAGTTCAAAACATTGTATTTTGTAATTTTCCCAGTTATTTTACTTATTAAAGTGTGATTTTATATAATGTATAAGATGACATTTTAAGGCATGTTATATAGGGATTTATGCCAGTACACACATTGCAAAAAAGTATATCATTGCGGATTGTTATTTTTGGTGGGGAGGGGAGACAATTTTTTAATGAGTGGGGTATTCTGTTTTATTGAAGGCTGGCCTCCTGTCACAGATACTCTGCAATGTATATATTTATTATGTTTAATCACATGGAATATTAACATAATATAATTTAATATTTTAGTTAATATTATTAGTGTATTGTAGTTGGTGTTATTTTTAACAATTTATTCAAGTTTTTAGTTTTTATTATTTGTTATTTTTTTATAAGTACTGTATTAATTTATTATGCTCTAATGACCTAGTTGTCATAGTGCTAGATAAATTATTTTATCGCTGAATTAATCTCTCCCTCAAGCTTGACTAATTCGGCCTCCCTCCTCCTCGCCCCTTCAAGTGGCTCAAGTTGTGAAAGCTACTACCTACGGGTCACAGGCGGCGAATCACTGAGCTGTGGCCGTGGTATGGGCACCAGGAATGGGCGTGTGGGTGGTGGGGACTCGGCCTACAACAGTTCAGCCTCGCTGTATGTACCCTACACGGCCACCAGATCCCGAACCCCCTCTCCCGGTGGCCGACATGTAGCCAAGAAGCACCGAGAGAAGGGCGAAGACGTCAAGAAAGCCAGGAAGCAGGTGGGTGCTGCCTATGATGGGTATGGGTATAGTAGATGCAGATGGGTAGTTTCTATGGTTCATAAAAGCTGGTTAAATGGGCATAAGTTGATTTTGGGGAAGAATGTGGGTCGTTGACTTCAGTGGGTCGTAGATATATTATGAAAGTGTAATTCATTTGAATCAAATCAGTTTGTTTTTATATAGAATACAGTACATATAATACTGTTACATAAGGCTGGTATGTATGTGCATTTTAACATTTCAGTCTTTATAAAGTTCTGAATTATCCTCCAGCTTTTTTGGCAAATCTTATTCTAGTAGAAGAGAGAAAGAGCAATATCAAATGTGATGAATTGTGGCACTTTTATAATTGAGTTTTCCTAATTTGACATAGTTTTTTCAAGGAGTAATTTGAGAGTAATTTGACAAGAGTATAAAGCTTGCAGAGTTTACCAAACAATTGTTAGTCTGTTATTATACTGTAATTAATACCTGTGGGTAAACATTATGATAATAATGATAGAGTATAACTAAATCACAGATTTTAAATGATTTAAGTTTAATTCAGAAGGTATCAGGGATGATAAGATTTGGGATAGATTTAATATTCAATTTAAGAAGTGATGATACAGTAGTCATAATGCTGGTTGTAGAATACAGTATAGGCAAATCGAATAATGTAGTGAAGCAAGCATAAGCAAAATTGTAGCACAATGCTGTTATTAAAATAAATTGCCATTTAGTATAATAAACTAAAGCCATTTTAAGCCTTGCCTGGCTTAAACAAGATTGCTGGATATACAGTCAGGCATACGCTGTACATGTGGTATATTTTAGCTTAGATACTTAATGTTTCTTCTCTATCTTTTTGAACAAAGTTAATGTTATGTCATAACAATCGAGGAGACTACAGAAGGGTTATTGGCCCATATAAGGCAGCACCTATTTGTATCCCAAAAAAAGTCATTCATATATCTAATGTACACCTTTAACAATCCAGCTGTGTCACATTTATAGTTATTGTACTGGTAATTTGTTGCGTAAATCGACAACTATTTCCGAACCAGTATTTATCCAGGTCTTTTTCTGAATTTACATTTTGCCAATTTGTATGTGTTGTCATGTGGAAGGCCTTTTCATATTTGTTTAACCTTTATTTGTATGGTACAGTACTTTTACTCGGGTTAAGTAAAACTCGGGCAATGTGGATTTATTTTTATAATTTATTTATTTATGATTTAAATACAGGCAGGTACAGTATTTCTATTCAAATTTAGGTAATGACTGTAATACTGGAGTGCTGTACTAGGGAAAAGTGGTGATGATGAGGAGTGATATTAATAGAGTTAAATTTTTGGATACTGTAGTTCAGTACAGTACCTGTATATATGCTGGTTAGCATTGTAAATGTGTGGCCACGTCTGTGGTAGAAAATAATACAAAAAAAAATAAAAAAAATAAAAAGTACCTGTACTGGAGGAATAATGAATTTCCAGGGGACAGGAGACCTCTAATGAGGGTTGTCAAGGTCCCCAACTGCTGACCTTTGCCAGGATGTAACCCACAACGGGTGTATAACTCTCGGGTATCTATTATAATGCTAGACAAAGAGGCATTAGGTGAAAGAAAACGTGCCCTGCTATCTCTGTCCTGCACAGGGACTGAATCTGGGTCCCTCTGTTGTGAGTTGAGGACATAGACCACTGTGCTACAGGAATAAGTAACACAAAGTTCTTGGGTAGATTCGATTTAATACTGTTCTGCTGTCTGAATAATAGTAATAATAATCCATGTTGGAATATTATTAACCCACCATGGATACAGTATTATTAATAATGGTGATTTATTATAATGAGAATTAGGTGCTGCTTTGCTTTACTTTTGTATTAAGTATACTGTATGTTGAACAATTTTTATTTCATTAGGTATGAGTTCCATATTTTAAGTCTCTTTACAGTGGTACCTTGGGTTTTCAAATGCCCTCTTTTCAATTTTTCTTAGTTCTTGAGCTCGATTTCTTTGAAAAATTTGACTTGGTATTCGAGGTTTGCCTCGGTGCTCGAGTTTGTTGATGCACATATGGGCCGACCGAGCACGTGTCAGTTTACCAGTGTTTCCCGCCTAGTGATGACCATGCTTGAATTATTTGTGAAGAATTTTATTTTTGTGCTTTTTTGGTTTCTGAACAAAAGTTCTTATTATATATCCTGCCATGGGTTCCAAGAAAGTCAGTGGTAAAGTTCAACCTAAGACAATAGTTGTGAGGATGACAATAGAGGGAAAAACAAGAGATCATTCATAGTGAGACAATGTGATGTCTCACTACAGACAATTTTTTTTTATATTTATATATACTGTACATAGTACAAGAGTTCTTAAATTCTTGTACAGCCACTAGCACGCTTAGGATTTTGGACAGGTCCTTAATCCTATGTTCCCTGGAATATGACCTTCCAAATCGTTTAACAACCAGGTACCCATTTTACTCTTGGGTTAAACAGAGGCTACAGTTAAGGATTTGCATCCAGTAAATCCTCCCTGGTCAGGATACGAACCCAGGACAATGTGCTCACAAGACACCAGGCAAGTGTCTTACTACTACGCCACGGTGACAAGTGTTAAAACGTAGGGGAAAAAAAGCGTCTATAGACAGATTCTTAGTAAGACAAGCAGTGAGCCACAACCAGGTCCTAGTGGTATGCCTGCAAAACGTGAGAGAGGTGTCTTCACTGAAATGACATCACTGCTGTTATAATGGCAGGGAACTCTCCTTCCAAATGCTAACATCTCTCCTCCTCCCTCCTTCCACACCATCTTCCATATGCCAACAAGAGTCCTCAATAAAGGAAAGTTATACTTGTACATACTGTAATGCAAAATATGAGTAGTAGTATGTATAAAATGTATTTTTAAGTTAATCCATTTCACACCCCCAAAAATATTAATTCAATTTACATTTTCTTACGTGAAAATTCATTTTGGTTTTCGAACCATCTCTGGGAATGGATTAAATTAGAAAACGAAGGTACCACTGTATTTGCATGGCATGTTTACAGAGATTTAGTCAGGCTTCAGGAATGTCTGAAACACTTGTGTTGTATTCACGGCTTCTATTATATAAATGCAGGAAGAGTTTAAAGTCCTGGTTAGCAAAGTATTGGACTATGGTGCTTTGTATGTATAAAGATAATGTGTGGAGAGTGCATGTTTAGAGATTTGAACAAAGGGGCTGTGTGTTGTCTGAGGACAATTTATTATCATTTTCATGGTAAATTTTTCATTGTGGATAATAAGATAAATTGCGGTGATTGAGCCGCATACATAGATACTGTTAGTAATAAGTGATTGAGTAATATATTGTGGGAGAAGCAATGTGGGACATAATATGTGACTTTTTAATATGCCAACTGTTTTCAATATTTTTTGGGTTATGTGTTGAATGCCAGTCTTGATCTGTTGCCCTTATATAGGCACAAGAGTTTTCACTATTTTTACTCGCATCCTACTTGCTTCTCGTCTTCCTTTTTACTTCGTGTAAACTGACATTGATTCTGAACTTGTTCTAATACCTCTGATATAGATCTATCTCATATATGTTTATGAATTTATGTAATGTTGGCATAATTAGGATTTGTGTCATGACTAACATTACAATACATGGCCCAGTAGCTAATTGGATGTAGTATCATTGTGATTGGATTGGGCCGAGTGTCCAGTCTGCAACCTGGTAATGAATCTGGTTTTCAGCCTAGTAACGCATCCGGTGTACAAGCTAATAATGTGTCTGGTGTACATACTAGTTAGTAGTGTGAACCTTAATGACTAGTGGAATTTATAGTCATGAATGTTGCCTAATTAATGGTGTTTTGTGTGTGTCGGCTAATGACTGGTGTTTTGTATAGTGACTTAGTGTAACGCTTAGTTGATGGTGTGTTGTCGAGTAATTTTGGTTATGTTGGGTATTGGCATGTGATCCATTGACTGGTGTATAGCTTTGTGACTGATGTATAGTTTGGTGACTGTTGCATTGCATGGTGACTGTATTGCCTAGTAACTGTTGGGTTCTGGCAGGTGATCAAGATGTTGATCGTGGTTGTGGTGCTGTTCTTGCTGTGCTGGGGCCCCAGGCTCGTCATGGAGATGTGCATCAACCTGGGACTCCAACAGTTCAATCAGGTTAGCTCTACATTTCTTGATTCCTTCTGACCCCTCTACAGGTCCTCTACAGGTACATCTCTTCTGACCCCTCTACATCTCTTCACCACACCTGTTGATGCCTCCTGACTTTGTTGACATTTTGTGTATTTCTGAAATATGCTCTTTGTTGAAGAGTTAAGTGTAGCACTATCAACATTACGCTGTAGTTAATATGTAAAAGAAGAATTGCTGAGTTTATTTAATGAAAACTGTGTGTTTTTCTGAATATTTACTTTCATAGGCAGACATTGTAAGTTATTTACCTTGTGGTTATCTTGCGATGATTTCAAGGCTCAACATCCCCGTGGCCCGGTCCTTGACCAGGCCTCCACTTGCCCATTAATTGTGGGTAGAATATGTCCAAGAATGCTTTCATTGTAGGGATTTTTCTATACTGTATTTGATCGGCTGGTAATCAAAATTAAGTTTATCAGCTAAAATTAGCAAATTCCTCTCGTCTAGGAATTGTATAACTGAGTTTTATCAATGAAATTGGTTATTGTTGAGCAAGTAATTAGATATAAGTGGTTTATGGAGAATGTGTGCAATAATATCACTGCATAAATTATTACAAATAATTCCCATTATCGGTGACAGGAAGCCTGTACACCTGTACTGAGAAGCGTCAAGATCCTCTGAGGTCAACCACTGACCTTGTCCCAGGATGCAACCCCACAACAGTTGCCTAACTCCAGGGTACCCATTTTACTGCTAAATGAACAGAGGTATTAGGTGAAAGAAAACTTGTCCAACCAATTACATTATGGTCGGGAATTGAACCCGGGTCCCTCAGCTTTGAGTCGAGGATATAGATCACTATATAGATCCAGTGGGAATAGATGTTAGATAGCGAGATTTAGTTGCTTTATGAAGTTAAAGATATGTCAACACTGATGATCAATAAGGTTGCTTCTCACCTTAGTTTCAAGCCTTTAAGTATACTGTACTATATTCTGAAATATTGTTCAGGATTAAAGCAAGCTTAGTATACTTACATTATTGTCACCATGTTCCACAGTTTCATGGGACAGGAGTGGTATCAGGCCAGAGAAGAAAAAGCAAGTACTCTAATGTACTAAGTGAACATTATAGACATTAATGAAAAAGTCAGAATATCATTTGTCTAGTAATTATATTATTCACAACACAATATGATGTACTGTACAGCATAGCATCACTGATAAGGGTGTACTACAGTACTCCAGAAGTTATTTACAGCAACACCCATCATTTTATATAACCAGGTGTACAGTTCGCATGAATATATTTTTTTTTTTTTTTTTTTTGAGATATATACAAGAGTTGTTACATTCTTGTACAGCCACTAGTACGCGTAGCGTTTCGGGCAAGTCCTTAATCCTATGGTCCCTGGAATACAATCCCCTGCCGCGAAGAATCGTTTTTTCATCCAAGTACACATTTTACTGTTGCGTTAAACAGAGGCTACAGTTAAGGAATTGCGCCCAGTAAATCCTCCCCGGCCAGGATACGAACCCATGACATAGCGCTCACGGAACGCCAGGCGAGTGTCTTACCACTGCACCACGGAGACTGCTATACTACATGCAAATGCTTCTATGGCATTTCTTACAAAGTACTTGCACCAAGTCTCATCTCTCCTCAAGCTTTGCATCCTCTCTAATTACACATCTTCCCTAACAGGTTTTCTACAATTTCAACATTGTATTCGTTCTGCTGCCATTCATCCACTGCTGCATCAACCCCATCATCTACTGCTTTATGTCTAAGAACTTCCGACGATCCATGAAGAAGCGACTGGAGGACTTGTCATGTGGACCCCAATCCTCCCGTCGCTGCTGCTGCTGTTGCCCCACCCGTCGAAGGCCTCCGCCCATTAACCTGCTCAACCGGGTCGTCACAAGGAGCGTCTATTCTTCCTACTCACCTGAGGGTACCTCTCGCCACACTGACCTAGAGACTGTCTCCACTATGTAGGTTTTGGGCCTTTCCTCATTTCTCTACTTTGGGAGTCCTTCTGGTATGTTTAATGGTTCTGCTCATATTTACTGTATCTTTCATTCTTCCTGTACCTTACATCTGTTGTAGGCCACTATGTCCATAGGTCTACTTGTATTTATGAAACTCTTTACTTGATCGCACTAAGAACCCCCCCCCCCCTCCTTTTTAGCCATATTTATTATGTCTTTAATTTTCCAGTAGCATCTGATGACCATGTGTCATTTAGTCTTTTTTTATTTTCCCTTAATATTAATCTGTCTTACTCCTTAATTAACTAAGAACCATTTTCTAAGAATCCATATTGCTACAACTACCAAAATTAGTAACTTCTAGCATAAATTAAAGTAGCCAATACCCCCATAGAGATTGATTCATTTGCATGTACAATACACATTATTTTGCTAAGTAAATGTCACAGTAAGTTGGCTGGAGTAAATGGGTTTTGATATTTAGTGTTTGCACTATTTTATTATTTTTGTATTTATTATGAAGGTTACGATTAAGTATTTTATGTCTTTGAATTGTAAGATATGCTTGTCTGTAAATACCTCAACTCTGTGAATGTCAATACTTATTTATCGAGTGTGCCGTTTATTTGGTACAAGTTGGAGTTGTTGTTATTGTCACGCATTCTGATTGTATAGCAGATTCTTTGAAAGAATATTAAACAAAAATTCATGATAGATGCTGCAAAATTACAAGTTTTATTTTATTCACAAATCATGTTGAACGTGGTCTGCTCTTTCCATGGCAAATGACGTGGCCTGGCATGGCAAGTGATAGGGTCCATCCATGGTTGGCTCTTGTCAGGTACAGAGACGGTCCCTGACTTGGGAGCATTTGCCTTAGGAATGACATAAAAAGTCCCCATTTTTGTATCTAGATTATTTGTTCTGCTATATGAACCATGTCTACTACCACCTACTCTGTAAGACATAAGATACTAATTTGATGGCTTTGTATCTGCATAGAATGGCAAACAGAATTTTCCCATAGCCAAGGATGCCATGTGGCTAACATGCTGCCCAAGTCAGCAGTATTGTCCTGCCCAATGTAGACCAAACTATATTCTGTGAACTCATTTAGATGTTTAAGGAAAATGCCATGTTGGTGTCAGAACTTATAGTTGTGCCACGTTTGCAGTTCTCACAGACAGACTGCCAGTGTCAGTCAGTCAGCCAGGTAGCCAGGTTAGTTGTAGGCACACGAGCAAGCTCTAGGTTCGTAGGTGGTAATCATATACCTTCATCCTACACAATTTACATCTATTCCCCATCCCACCTCTTTCAACTCAACCTCCACCATTTCCTAACATGTTGTAAGATTGTAATCCAAACTCTTTCTTCCCTACAATTTCAGTTTCCAAACTGCTTGAGCATCGACAAAGCCCAAATCACATGCTTAACCTAGTAGGTACGGCAGCCAAGAAACTAACTGCCTTAAAGCAGTTGCTGGTTGATCAGTCCAGCAACCAGGAGGCCTAGTCGACGACCGGGCCGTGGGGACGCTAAGCCCCGGAAGCACCTCAAGGTAAGGTGAATCTCGTACTTTCTTGACAGCAAGGTCTGCAGAACCTTATATGAGGACCAAGTTCGCTCCCATCTTGAATACGCACTACTCTCCTGGATGGCCTGCCCCCCCCCCCTCCCAGTCACTTATCAGAATGACCGATAAATTCTGGGGTGGGGGGAGGAATATGACTATAAATAACTATAAAGTCATAGATAATGACAAATTCTGATAATTGATGGAGGGCAGGTAATCCAGGAAAGAGGTGCATAATCTAGATAGGAATGAACCTGTGGTTCATATAAGGTTTTGCAGCCCCTGCTGTCAAGATGCGAGATGCACCGTAGGACTGAGTTTCCTGGCTTCCTTTTGGGTTAGGTTAAACAAATGGCTCTTCCTTGTAATAAAATAAAATAAACAAAAAATCAAACTTCATAATGTCAATTTCATCTCTGAACTTTAGATTTCTTCAACTTGTTTACAAGCCTGTCCAATTTTACCTATATCTCTCTGTCTCGTATATATCAACCTGAGAGGGATAGTGTGTTATACCCCACTCTTCCTTTGTATCTCATAGATATAGGGAGAGATTCTCTATCTCTGAGAGGGATTGTTATACTCTCTCCCTTTCTATCTCTACCTCTTTTACTTCTCAAAATATATCTATCCCTTGAGTGAACAAATCCCTCTCTATCTTTAGTTCTATGTCTACTCCTCTGGTCCCTTTCTATCTCTATCTCTTTGAGGGAGAATCTCTCCCCCTCTTAAGAGATAGGGGTAAATATACATTGGGGAAAAGATTATACCTCTCTTTCTCTGAGAGATAGAAAGGGAGAGGGGGTAGACAGAGCTAAAGATAAAAAAAAGAGGTAGAGATAAAGAGGGATAGAGATATATAGAGAAATACGAAAAAATATAGAAAATCAGAGTATAACACAATCCTCCTCAGAGATAAAAAGAAAATCTCTCCCTATTTCTATATCCAAGATAGAAAGGGGGAGATAGAGAAAACATGGTAAAAATAGAGGGTGGCAGAGACAGAGGTAGAGACTGAAAGAGAAAATATATCACCATTTCAATATTGCTCTTTATGTCATTCATATATGTAAACACGTGCATTTATTCATTTTTTCATTTATATACAAGAAGAGAAGGCTACCCTTGAGTCTGTAATATTCATCTGATCACTGGTCTCCCATTTGGTCCTCATTGCTTTATCTTACTATTATTGAATGTCAATAACCGTATTATGCAATTTCAATTTCTTCTATTTCTTTCTTTATTATGCACCCCATACCCATCCCGTGGGCGGTGGTGTAAAGGATTACAGAGGCACATAATCGGTTCAGGAACTGAACCCTCTAGTTCGTTTAGCTAAGCAAATAACAATGTTTGACGCTAGTTACAAAATTATTAATGTTGTATACACATGTGTACACACTCATGTGTGTGTACATGAGTACTTTATTATATACATACATATATAATCACCTACACAAATACACACATCAATAATCTTTGTGTCACAAGTGATCAACAAGAGGCTCACAACAGTCACTATAAAAGGCACTTTACATCTATAGTGAGTCACACAGTTACTAGTCTTGCTCCACACCCACCCAACTGGGCGGCAGCTTTACAGTCATGTGCTCCACACCCACCCAACTGGGCGGCAGCTTTACAGTCATGTGCGTGCATTACCTACAGTAAGCAAATTTTGGATACTTCGCTAAGATTTCGGGCAGCCCATCATTATGAATGAAGTACTTACACATTTCATTAGGCAACTTTAATAAAGTTGTCCATCAGCATTTTGTGGTGTTCAGCTATATACCCTTATCTTCTGTATGTTCCTCACATTACCAGTATACACAAACATTGACATGTAGGGATATAGACTCTCAGGTAAGTTAGTAATTTAATGCACAGTAGCAGTCCTAGGCGTTCAATCCCCGACCGCCGTCCAAGTGGTTCGGCACCATTCCTCCTCATCCCATCCCAAATCCTTATCCTGATCCCTTCCCAGTGTTAAATAGTTGTAATGAACAGGCACTATATATTATATATACATATATATATATATATATATATATATATATATATATATATATATATATATATATATATATATATATATATATATATATATATATATAATTATACCAGTATAATCTAATAATATATACTGGTCTAATAAAATAATTAGACCAGTTAATACTCTCACTCGTTGTGTTAGGATATGTTAGCTTGATAAAACTGACTGTTCATTGTTGAGAAATGTGTTAACAAACAATATATCTGACTTTATCAAGACTGTAGCTTGCTTAGCAAAAGGAACTTTATTAAATTTTGGTTCAGTTTAACTACCTCTCAATGGATGAGTAATTGGGGCATAATAAAGGAACTAAGCTGATAAAATGAAAGATGAGAAAACAACATTAGAGAGATAAACTCGAGAGACGTTTTCATGTTAACCCGAAAATTATTTGAGGAGCAAGACGGACTGCGGGTCAGGCAATTGGTCTTCATGCTATCGTTATGGGGGATCAGCCATTACACGTGTTAATGACTCTTGTATAGTTGTGTAGTTAAGGACAACAGGGTAAAGGGGTAATGGGCATTGTGGTTGATTGTTCTACCTGGGAATCCTCCACTGTTTTATATCTTATGTATGTATGTATGTACTCACCTAGTTGTGTTTGCAGGGGTTGAGCTCTGGTTCTTTGGTCCCGCCTCTCAACCGTCAATCAACTGATGTACAGATTCCTGAGCCTACTGGGCTCTGTCATATCTACATTTGAAACTGTGTATGGAGTCAGCCTCCACCACATTACTGCCTAATTCATTCCATTTATTAACTACTCTGACACTGAAAAGTTCTTTCTATAATCTCTCTGTGGCTCATTTGGGTACTCAGCTTCCACCTGTGTCCCCTTATGCGTGTACCACATGTGTTAAATAAATGTATGTATGTATGTATGTATGTATGTATGTATGTATGTATGTATGTAAGGAGAGAGAGAGAGAGAGAGAGATGAAGACCGAGACAGAGAAATAGATATAGACAGAGTCAGGGAGACAATGTTAGACACAGAGACGGATAGATAAGGATATGCAAAGTCAGTGAGAGAATGACAGAGATAGAGCGAGGAAAGAGACAGAGAGATAGGCTGACACAGAGAATGGCAGAAACGAGGAGAGGCAGAGACAGAGGGGGGACAGGGACAGGGACAGGCGGACAGGGACAGGAGCAAAGGGACAGGGACAGGAGCAAAGGGACAGGGACAGGGACAGGCGGACAGGGACAGGAGCAAAGGGACAGGGACAGGCGGACAGGGCCAGAGGAGGGACGGGGGAACAGAGGGGGGGCAGTGGGACAGGGAGGGAGACAGGGACAGAGAGGGGGACAGAGACAGAGGGACAGAAACACAGAGACAGAGGGACAGGGTCAGAGAGGGGGACCAGGGGACAGAGGGAGGAGAGGGGGGGCAGGAGACCAAGAGAGAGGGGACAGAGGAGAGACAGGGGATAGAAAGAGTGGGCAGGGGGACAGGGAGGGACAGGGACAGACAGAGAAGGACAGGGACAGGGACAGGAACAGGGGGCAGAAAGGGCGGACAGGGGGACAGGGGGCAGAGATAGGGACAGGGGAACAGAGACAGGGACAGGGGAACAGAGACAGGGACAAGGGGACTGGAGGAAAGGGAGGGGGATAGATGAAGGACAGCGGACAGAAAGAGTGGGCAGGGGGACATAGAGGAACAGGGGGACAGAGTGACAGGGGGGACAGAGTGACAGGGGGGACAGAGAGAGGAACAGGGGGACAGAGAGGAACAGGGGGACAGAGAGGAACAGGGGGACAGAGAGGAACAGGGGGACAGAGAGGAACAGGGGGGGACAGAGAGGAACAGGGGGACAGAGAGAGACAGGGGGACAGAGAGATGGAAAAGGGGGGGGACAAAGATGGACAGGGCGACAAAGATGGACAGGGCGACAAAGATGGACAGGGGGACAGGAGGAAAGGGGGGAGATGTATGAGGGGGGAATGTTTGCGAGAGATGGAGAAGTAGTATTTAGAATGGTAAGTTAGAGAGGGGACAACTAAGGCGCATCATTGAAAAGCAAATGAGCATCATTGCAATAGCAGGAGCCACGCACATCTTCAGCCTCCGTTGTTGAGACATTG